GGCCTCTGGTCCCAATGTTTGAAATGACTCAAGGTCCTGGCATTGATTAAATTGCGTGGAGCTATTCAGGTATTCATCAAGAAGCCACCATAGGAGCACTTCCAGAAATATCATCTTACTGTAGTAACTAAAACTGGAGAGTTTTAGTGTGTGTCAGACTACAATCAGTCCCATCCATTGGTATCGGAATCAATAGAAATTTTAGTATTTTTACTAAATATTTTAATAATTACTATGAAATTTATTCAAGTTAATAATACTAATATCCCTTATGCTCTAAGGTTTCATTGCAATCTTGATGCTAGACATATCTGGCATACTTATAATACCCTAACTTACAGCAGATATAAAAATTTGATGAGAGATGCACAAAACACATATTTGCACAAATAAAAGTTACGAGTGGAGCTACATTAGCTCCAAGCAAATGCACGCAAAGGCATTATCACAAAGACACATTGATGTGCTATCTATTGGGTATAAGACAAAAACATTTGGTTGGAGGTACCTTGCCCATGACCTCCCTTTCTATGGAATGTACAGACTCTTCCCTACACATGATGTATCAACTTATTTGCCTATGAGCACTTGTAAATTGTGGGATGGTTTACTTCAAGGCTCTTGCTTTCTTGAATGCGAATATAATTGATTTTATTCTTACTTTTATCTTTCAGCAATGATTGATGCTGAAGTCAATAATCGCTAGACGTTATCCTTATTCCGACATTGCCGAGGATCTTGACAGGGAGGTCCGCATTTCTCCTGGCAATGATAATGTCCATGTTATTTCTTTGCAGATATTTACTAAGACTGCTTGTATTTAACAATATCACCTTCAGAAGGACCAATCCAAACAAATTAAAAATCACAAATAGCATTCACAGGAGCAATGCTGTCAGCATACATCTTAAGTGTTATTATTACCAATAAAAAAGGGGAGAGTTTTAATAATTTTGTTACATCTGATCACAAACAGTTTTACTACTACTCACTGACATGACTATCTCCTTACACTCAAGGAATTTAGTAATTACCTAAGTGAATAAGGTAATTACTAAATAATTATAGGATGAGAGCTATGCTCATTGTGTCCCATCTTCCCAGTACTCTTTGTCAAATGATGCTTTGAAACTACAGACGATTTTGACCTCCAGCACCACCTCACGTAACTCGTTCCAACCATCTACCACTCTGTTTGCAATGGTAAACTTTCTAATTAGTGGGTGGTAGCTTTGTTTCATCAATACAAGTCTATGACCTCTTGTTCTTGAAGTTGCAGATTCCAAGAATTCTTCTTTCTCACTTTTGTGGATTCCTCATACTAATTTGTAAGTAGTGAACATCCCACCTCTTTTTCTTCTACAGTATCTTCTAGCTGTGGTATATTTAACACCTCTAGCCTATCCTTGTACCTCTTGCTTTTCAGTTCAAGATGTCATTTAGATGCATGTTTTTGCACCTTTTCCAGATTATTGATGTGCTTCTTGAGATATGGCACCCTACAATCACTGTGTATTCCAATTTTGGTCTCACAAAGGTTGTGAACAACTTCTTTAATATTTCACTATCCATGTATTCAATCTATCCAGAACCACCATTGGTTCTCTTTCTTCACTGGAATGCTTTAAAGTCTTTTCACATAAAAGTTCTTTTCACATTTTTTTTTTTTCTTTTTTGAGATATATACAAGAGTTGTTACATTCTTGTACAGCCACTAGTACGCGTAGCGTTTCGGGCAGGACCCTGGAATACGATCCCCTGCCGCGAAGAATCGTTTTTTCATCCAAGTACACATTTTACTGTTGCGTTAAACAGAGGCTACAGTTAAGGAATTGCGCCCAGTAAATCCTCCCCGGCCAGGATACGAACCCATGACATAGCGCTCGCGGAACGCCAGGCGAGTGTCTTACCACTACACCACGGAGACTGTGACTGTAATCTTTGAATATGTTAGATATTAAGTCACTGCACATCCTCTCAAGTGTACTCTATATATAAAAACTCTGAACTGTAATGCCAATCCTAACCTTAAATGCTTCTTAAATGTTGCAACAGAACCCATGGGCACCACACTAGAAACAAATACCTATTTGATTTTCCAAGAGTGCATCTTAACCAAACTAGAAATGCTCTGGAAATCAAGGGACCCAGAGTGTGGAATGACCTTCCCAATCATGTCAAAGGCTGTACCTCTCTCAACCAGTTTAAGAGAAAAACTAAGTACTACTTAATAAACTCCATGTAACCTACCTTACCTCCTATATGTCAACCTATGTCTTGCTATTTTCAAACAATATTAATTACTGACCAGCATGTTTAACTGCTGATATCTGCCATATATAAACTTAAAGAAAACTGTAATCTTGTTTATTTAGTTAAAATTCCTTCTGCTGTTCTGTTGCATTTTCTGCTGTTCTATCCATCATGTAATTATTATCATTCTCCTTTTTTGAAGGAAATATATGCCAAGTTTCACCTTGGCATATATTTTCTTCAATATATGCCAAGGTGAAACTTAATCTGGACCAACTGCTTTGTTCCTACTTAGCTCCTTGAACAATGTGATTATCTTCAACTGTACTTCAAACTTCAACATCCTTGAATGAAGCCATGGCATTTTGGACATGGTTTCAAGAAATGATGATGGCTTTGAAATACCTGGATTGTACCTGGATGGAGTGCTGAGAGTTCTTCTACTCCCCAAGCCTGGCCCAGGGGCCAGGCTTGACTTGTGAGAGCTTGGTCCAACAGGCTGTTGCTTAGAGCGGCCAGAAGGCCCACATATCCACCACAGCCCGGTTGGCTCAGCACTTCTTGAAGAAAACTATCGGTTTTCTCTTGAAGACGTCCACGGTTGTTCCGGCAATATTTCTTATACTCGCTGGGAGGATGTTGAATAACCGTGGACCTCTGATGTTTATACAGTGTTCTCTGACTGTGCCTATGGCACCCCTGCTTTTTACTGGTTTTATTCTGGGGAAGGTTACCCAGGAAGAACCCCCACAAGTTCTTCCTTCTAATTACTTAACTAATATAATTGGAGCACCTCTCATGTGAGTGTCCTGTAGTGCAGTGGTTGATACAGTTGGGTCAATACTGCTGTTCACCTAACAGTAAATGGTTTAGCACTTATTAGTAAATAAACTATTGTCTGTCATATCCTAAGGAAGGACTGTCATTGGCTAAGGAGACCTCGATAAGTTCAACAGACTTCCCAATCCCAAACAATGGAAAACCTTAACCCTCAAACTTGCATCATTAAGAATAGGTAAGATTCTTGCAGTGTTGACAGGAGCCATTTTAAGGGCAGATGTTATGAAAAGTAGAGTGTTTATGTAATACAGTAAACTATTTGTGGTAATCACTTGCCGATGTAATCACTTCGCCCATTCACCCACTTCACCCAGGTAATCACTTGCCCATTGCCAAGTGATTAGTTCATGTGGCTTCCACAAATAGGAAAGTGTACGAGAGTAACCACTAATTTATTCTAGCATGGCTCCCTCTTTTTCAACCTTCAAAATATAATTACCTAAGTGTAGTTATAGGATGAGAGCTACGCTCATTGTGTCTCATCTTACCAGGACCCTTTGTCATACAACGCTTTGAAACTACTGACGGTTTTGGCCTCCACCATCTTCTCTCGGCCTCTCAAATTCAATCCAATGCTTCCCTACCCTGATACTCTATTAGAAAAATCTCAAGTACCTTTATAACTTATTGAGGACCATCTGTATTTTCACAGTCTAGGTACTCACTTTACTTTGTCAGTTTCTCTAAGTACTGTATTTTCTAATGTGGTGACTATCACTTCATCTCTTATTTGACATGAGATAAAGTTCCTTTAGTCTAGCATTGTAATTCCTTCACTGCATCTCTGGAACCAGTCTGAGTACAAACCTCAGAGCTTTTCCTATCATCATTACAAGATGAGGATTCCATGTTGATACTGTATAGTTATAAACTAGTCTACTGCGCATAAAGCATAGTGCTCTGAATGCCTCCTTGTGCAGACTCTTGAAGGCAGTCCACATATTTGCCAACCTTGCACATGCCACTGATGTAAACTATGTGTGTGCTTCAGGAAATAGGTCTGATATGATGTACCGTACGACTCCTCCCCCATACCCTCCCAAGTCTTTTTCTTTTTTGTTCATCAGACGCTGTTTCCTTCCCAGCGGGTACCTTGTGTCCAGTCTCCTTTATTTACTAGTATTGTGTTGTCTGTAAATACTAATAAGATAACGGAAGACAATGTAAATGTAAAACTCACAATCACGACTGCATAAATCTAAAATTCAACCTTTACAGGTAAAGAATCCTTCCATGGTACAGTAGATTTAATTTGATGATTGACCTAAAACAGGAAAGCTTAAAATCTTCACTAGTCTTCAGTTCAAATCACCAGAGTATTCACCATGTAATACTTCAACTTTTTCACTATCCTCAGGTCTAGAAATGTTCCTCTTTGATCAATACCCATATTTAGTCTGCCTTCTGTTCTCTTTGAAGACTGAAGATGAGCTTCCATTTAAGCTCATCTCATGCACTATTTCAGTGATGGTTTGGCCAGCATACCAATAGCTGAGCTGTAGTGTTCCAAACGTATTGTTAGTTGTCCTTGTACCAGTTAAACCAGACAGGGTGTCCCACATCTTGGTGATGTAACACTCATTTAGTCTCTCAAATTTAATAAAAACATATAAAATTTATCATAAAAAATATGAAGCCTAAATATTCAGTATACTGGGAGATGACATATATATACTTGTTTTAAAAATATTCTTCAAAGACTTGATTTCCCATTTTATTCTTCTTTTTGTTCAAACTTTATAAGCATGCAAAATTACTCATGCTTCTCTGTAATTAAGAATAAACTGAATCAAATAAAAATTAAAATGTATATTTTCCATATTAAGAGAAGGCATATTCTAATATGCTACTGAATCATTTATTTTTTATTTTTATTAAAACATCCAAATTAATACTTGGTAACATACCATCAGAATTTTTCTTTGTTAAGACGGCATCTGATGATTCTTTGGTGACAGAATCTTCACTGTGGCTTGCATTTAATCTGAAAAAATTATAAGTGATAACATTTTCAAAATCAGATATGTTTACACTAACAAGCCCTTTTCTGTTAAAGGGCTTCTAATAGTAAAATATAATAGTAACCCCATGACACCAAAAATAGTATAAAAATACTATACCATTATATAATACCCCTATATATAGTATATAATACACCCCAGAAGTAACATAAAAAAAAAGGTTTGGATGAAATGAAACAGCAGTTTCTGGGCGAGACCCAGAGGCTCCCCGGAGCTAACCGGGCTGATATGAATGTATTAAACCCTGGCATCAGTCAATGCGCATGGTGTTCTAGGCATACCGGGGACCATGAGCCAGAACCTGGCCTCCTCAGAGGCACGAGGAACAATGGCCTACAGAAACCCCAGTGTGGTTGGAAGCATTCTATGTCTGACAACTGAGTCAGGCACCAAGAAGGGTAAGCACCCCAAAACAAATCCCTATTCTGGTTAAAATATAACTACTAAAAGCTGAACTAGTGGACACAACTCCCCAAATGAAAATGAGCAAACGAGCATGACGGTACCACGTCACTGCGCCCTGTCTGCACAGTTACCCCCCTCACCACGAGAGGGAAGGGGGAGCCCCAGACCCCCACGCCAGCTATCTACACCCGTTCTGAGGCTGAATGTCGAAAACACGTTAAAAACCGCCGACCGGAGGGAGGGAGAGATGCCGGGAAGCCTTTGGGTTTGAGTGATGCCTCGACCACGTCAATGCGAAGAGGTCCACCTCCAGGAGCCCATATGTCCGGCAGAGCTAACTGAATGAGATAATCATCCAACTGAGAATGATTATCAGGGACTTACTTCGATCAACTGTGTTTTCCACCAATTTAGGATTTGATGTCAGTTCTTTTCTGACTTCCAGCCTAATGTTTGTTTTATCCAGGTTGCTGCAGTGTTTGGCTTCCTTTACTGCTTCTTCTCCTTTTTCCTTCACTTTGGCCACTTGTGCATAGGTAAGTTGCATATCTTTCTTGCACTGTTCTATTCCCTGTGTAACTTCCTCCATCTGTACTGACAAAGGCTATTTTTCCTTTTGGATTTCCTTACCTAAGCTATTGTAGTCATTTATGTTTAAATTTGCTTTAACTTCTTCCTAAGCTATTTTTAAGTGTTTATTTTCCTCTTCCAATGCTTTGCAATTTGTTTCCAATAGATTCTTCTCCTTGCACAAGTCTTTCACTAAACCCTCAAGACCAAAAACTTTGCTACTCAAGTGGTCATTACTTTGTTTCAATTTACTGATAATTTCTACATGATAGTCCACTATGGTATCTAATTTTGCCAACTTGTTATGTAGACTGCTTATATCAATGCTTTCTTCAGTGAATCCGCCAAACTCTAGCTCTGTTTTTCCTCTTGCCGGCGGCCATCTTGAATTTTGTCGTCTGCACTGTTAAGACTAGAGGCAACTTTTTCTCTCCTAATTTTTTTCACTTCCCTTGGTACATTCGTGTTATCTGACCTATTTTGCAAAAGCGTGGAAAGCATGTGAGGCACTATCTCAGTGCAAGGCATCACTGTTTGCCCACTCCTGGAAAGAAATCACGAACCAAAGAGGTAAAAAAAATAAAACCAGCGTTGAATGTAATGAAACGCCATTTTCTGGGTGAGACCCGGAGGCTCTTCAGAGATATCCTGGCTGATATGCTAATGTCAGACATTGGCATCAGTCATGTGTATGGAGTTTTGTGGGCCTACCAGGGACCACGAGCCAGAACCTGGCCCCCTCAGAAGAGCATGAGGAGCAATGGCCTATAGAAACCCCCATGTGGTTGGCAGCATTCTATGTCTGCCATCGACCGGGTCAGGCACCCAGAAAGGTAAGCGTCCCAAAACAAACCTCTATTCTGGTGAAAATTATGACAATAAACTGAACAAGTGGATAGAACTCTACAAACAGAAACGGACAAACGAGTATGACATCACACGTCGCCGCGCTGCTGTCTACGCAGCTCCCCCCTCCCCGGTAGGGGGAAGGGAGAGCCCTAGACCCCCGCGCCGACAATCTACCTCTCAGTTCTGAGGCTGGACATCAAAACATGCAAAAAAATGCCGACCAGGGGGGAGGGAGGGTTGCCGGGGAGCCTCCGGGTCTCACCCAGAAAATGGCATTTCATTACATTCAACACTGGTTTTCTGGGGGAAACCCCAGCGTCTCCCTGGAGCTACCTACTCAAAGACGAAAACAAGAGGGACCTAACCCGGCAGGCGGAAGACGTACACTCCCAACGTGAAGCGGAGACAAAAACTGCAATTGCCAACCCAAGACCACACAGGCCCGACAAGGCCCAGGAACATCAACGAAGGAACGCAGAGCCAACCAACAAACGATGTGGGCACGGGGACAGACAGCAGACTGGCAGGACCGAACCACCCCACGGATGACCCGAGAGAACTACACCCTGGAACAGGGAAGAGGGGAACTCGGAACAACCTAAAGTGTGACCCCGGTCACGGCAGCCATGGCACGCCAAGCACGGTGCAGTGCCGCCACCGAACACAACACACGATGCACTCCCGGCCAGACCAACCAAGCATCAAACAACCCAAGGACCCCTCCAGAAAGCAGCCGTGCCAGTCTTCACCAGAAAAGAAGGAGACAGCCGCAAGTGAACAAACCTATCAGGAGAACCAAGAGCTGAAACCCAGGCGCCAGAGGAGAGCATGAAGCACTCCAACCCGACCCCCAGAGGCCAATGCCAACAAGAAAAAGAGCCCCGGAAAACCACTCAGAACCGAAGGGGCTACCACAAACCGAGGAGAAGAGAAAAGAGCACGCAATCCAAGAACCAGGACGGCTCAAGCGGCGCAAGAGCAGGCCAGAGATGAACCACGCCAGAGACGTTGCTGAGGCAACTTCCAAAACCGAAGCAACCTGGAACGGCTCCGCCAGAGCCGCACGAGACAAGGCGACAGTATGTGACAAAATGACGGCCCTAAACCTCCACAGGAGAAGGACCAGACCACGCCAAGAAAATATAGCAAACTGACGAAGGGACAGAAAGAAACACGAAGGACCACCAAAGAAAACCCCACACCGCCGCCAAGACGAAGCATGCAGTTGGGACACCATCAACGAAGCCACCTGACCACCAACAGAAGGTGAGATACTCGAGGCAGAACTGAACCAGCACCGCCATGGATCGATCAAGCATAGTAAGAGGCGGAGCTGCGGGAAAACCTCGGGTGCGACCACCGACCAAGCAGAGCCGGAACCCAAGCCGGCAAGGAATGAGAAGGAACGTCTACCATACAAAACACTTCCCAATGCTAGTAAGCTTGTCAGGAGATCGGAGACACTGGTTCTGATGAGAGACTCGTGAGAAGTGGCACCGCGAGATCCAGAAAATGTCAACTGGCAGGGTAAGCCAGGAAACCAGGAACTGAAACCTGGCAAGCCAGGAAAAACCAAGCATAGGGGCGGTGCAAAAGCAGGGAACTGAACATTGATAAAGTAGAACCTAGTCTCTCAGAGAGAACCCCAGCAACATCAGAGGCCCGAGACTGTTCAACATGCCTCCACGACACATAGGGGGCAAAACAGTCCGACCCCCTCACAGTGACCAAGAGAGAACTGGATAAGCACCTCCAAAGGATACCTGATTAACCACCATGCTGCGCTGAGTTTATTGTGAAATTCCCCCCGTGCGCATGAAATAAAGTGTTCCCCAAAATTTGTTTTTCTTCGTAAAATGATAAATTCCCTTCCCTGAACATCTCTATGTAAAAATAAATACCAAATTCCACTTATTTTGGCTGTGGGGACGTAGACAAGTTGCTCTGTGACATCATCGGGGCTGGACGCCCATGCGTGAGTCGCCCAGATACAGTTGCGTGGGCCATTCAAGCACCGAGTGTTGCCACAGATATATTTTCAATTATTTGTTTATGTATTTCCAATGCGGTTTTATCTGTTTCTTTATCGTATATGATGCATATTTGTGTCCTTTACAATATGTATACAGTAGAACGTTCATAATGTTCCACAGAACTGTGATACATGTGTCAGTAATGTGTCCACTATATATGTTTATTGTCGAAATATTACTTGTTAAAAATTCACTAAAATTACAATATGTACCATTTCACACACTATTTACACAAAAACACACTGTACTGCACACTTAGTACTATGGAAGTGAGTAATAATCAATGAAGTAGTCCCTGGTACACAGTGCGACTTCGCTCTCGTTGCACCAGGTACAGATAGATTTCACTTCCTGTTTCTTCGTTCTGTGTGCTTGCAAATAATGCACTCACGTACACCCTTGGCATTAGTACCCATAGGTGGTATGTAGCCAAGCTTGTAAAACATAAGGTAGTCTTGAAAAGATTACAGGAAAAGATGAATTTGTAAGGTAGTCGTGAAAAGATCGCTTTGTATGGTCCCACATAGGAAAAGATTCAGCTAGCCTCAAAGAGTGTCCGTCAGTCAAGAAGAGATTCAGCTATTTTTTAAATTATCTATGGAAAACACCACCATGGAAGCTGCTAACACTGTTCATCTATGCTACTTGTATCAGATGCATCATCACTGAATGCAGAAAACGATTCATCTATGTATCATCTAAATAAATTAGAGATAGCATAGGTGGGCCAGAGTGGTGCTCAGAGCTGCAATTGGATACGCTCGCTGTAACGTCCTCATAGGTGTTGTATAACTTGCATCCGTCCTTTGTGTTAGGTCCTTATTGGGCCTAGCTTCACCAATGTTATGACCCTTATGTTCTTCAAACAATAAGGTTTGAATTTCACTGACAGAGCACAATTTTTCAACACCACGTCGGACAGCTGTTTGGGAGTCAGAGGTGCGTGTGCCACTCATGGTTGCTCATTCAGTACTAACCCAGCCAGAAGCCCTAGGGTATTCTGGGATTTTTTTCCAAGATGGCTGCCACTCACTGGAGGTCCTAAGAGTCCATTTCGTACACAACCAACCTCGCACACATTTAGAATGGGTACGGAAAAATCAAAAAGAGTTTTCTCGGTTGGTGCAGTTTCCCGTCGACTGAGAATACTCGGTTGGCGCAGTTAAGTGGTTAACCAGGCTGTAAGTAATAAGTCAGGATGCGCGTAGTCACGTCAAGCAGCCTGGGTGACCAGGCCGCGAGGACGCTAAGCCCCGGAAACCCTGCAAGGTAACTGCAAGGCAGCAGTAGGCGAGCCAAGAAGCACATACTAAACCATACAACAATGTGTAACGAGAATGGCGAGGTAACATCAGAACTATTACATCCCTTGACACTTGGTTACCACAACACAAACAAGTGTAAACTAACTTCTACAGGGCTTCTTGCAGACATCAAGCCCCGATGAGTTACAAACATGCAAAACAATCCAACCACCCCTCACATATTACCCCGGCAGGTCAATCGACCTGAAGCGGATACTGGAGAACAAGCCATATTTACTAGAAAAACAGCCTCAGCACCAGCAGTGAGGGACACGAGTGTAGAAGGAAGATGAGGAACGAGGAAGACAGGCAGCAACGGGAACGAAAGGGACACGACCAACAACATAGAAGCCGTGTCATTCGCCTGCTGCCAGGCGAATGACAGCAGAGAAGCGGGACCAAAGAGCAACAGCTCAACCCCCGCAAGTACAGCTAGGTAAGGACAACTAGGTGAGCACAGAGAATCCAATGTATATGGAAGGGCTAAGCCAGGCACTGCAAGACGGGCAAGGAATGAGTGACCCAGATAAGACCACGAAAAACTGGGCCGTGATCCACTGTGTAACAAACAACATAGACGAATAAGGAAGGCCCCAGGAAGAAACACGCCAGGGCCAAACAAAACACCACAACCAATCCCCAACACGGATCCCCAGTATCAAAGCTACAACAAAATGTCACTTCATAACAGCCTGACCCAGTCTAACATTTACCCCATAACATTCACCTCCATCATTATACCCCCTTGATTGGCTCAAGCATGTGATGGACAAGTATATGAGTGGGCCTGGATGGGTATAAATAGAAACTGCCGTGTACGGGCCAATAGGCCCTCTGCAGTCACCTTAGTTCTTATGTTCTTATATTCATATCCAAAAACCACGAACCAGCGCCTGGCCGAAAGAGACGCCAGACCGCATAAACTCACCTGCAGAATGTAGGCACGCATGTGTCACAACATGACATAGCCGAGAAGATCTTGGGAGAGCTGCCAGAGGAAGAAGCCCAAAGCTGCACCTGTAGGATAAGAGTAGGGTAGAGGCGAATGAGGCGCCCCACACCCATATGCAAGGGAAACCCAGCATCCACCCCATAGCGAAATCCAGAACACCCCCAGCATCTACAGGGCACGGACTGGAGAGACGAGAGGAGCGAGAAAAGCGAAGCACGGATGTGGAACACCAGCATTTGTGTACACTGTCCATAACAAAAACTTCCACGGCGCATGCGCAGGATGCACGAGGTCTGAACCGCACAACCCCGCCCAGCGGGGAGGGCGCCAACAAGGAGTATTGCAAAAATATTAGCAGTGCCTAGACAGAGCACGGAGAGAAGATGTAATGACAAAAGAACAAGACAGTATAAAAAAACCAAGAAGCAGCACAGAAGAGGTCCAACGAGTCTAAAAAGGACTGGAGGTAAGCCTCACCGGAAGACGACAGAAGTTCCAATAATGTGGGAAGAATCGAAGACCTTCCCGAACCCCTGAGATCTTACAGAAGTAAACAAGTCACGAAGGCTCATAAAGGTACAGTCGCACCCGAGACCAAAAATCATGCAGAACCCCAATAATAAGGGAACATGACCCCGACATGACAGAGAAGTCCAGTCCCAGAGAAAAGGAGGTAGAATGGAGAAAAGTACCCACCGATAGGACGGAACCAAACGGACCCGAAGGGACAAGGATCCGAACCCGGGGAGGGGCCAATGCCCAACAACTCGTACTCAGAGGGGGAAGGAAAACCCCACTTCCCGTAACTGCAAATCCCACTCAGAGGGTAGAAAACCCCGGCGGGAACCAACGGGGCTCGAGGCCCCCCCCCCCCCAAGTCATCCCCCCCTCCCCAAACCGGGAACCTCCACGGCCGAGCCGTCCCCCCAAAGACCCAGCCTCACAAGAAAATGCCGGGGCAATTGGAAAATTACTAAGGAAAGGAGCCCACTGGCAGACTCATACAACCCGGCTGGAGGAACAAGCTCGAATACCTCCGTCACAACCCCAGAAGAGGAAACCCCGGAGACCTCCCGAGTTTCAAGACCATCGAATCCCTGCCCTCACCCTGAACCCACAGACGAAAAGGATCTGGATGCAGGGAGGAAGGGTAGGGGGACAACCAGACGAAATCACAACAGGTGAAAGACAGGGAGGCAAGAAAGGAACAAACCCGAAGCAACCAACACCCTCTCCCAAGCCCCACCACAACAACCAAAATGGGGCAGCCTCAGGGCTTCCGGGGAGCAAACAACCTAGCATGCTGCAACCACCTGAACCCAACGTGCAATGCCCGTGCTGCCTGCACCCACATAGCCAGCATAAGACCGGGTAACCGAGTCACAAACAAGCAACGAAACTTGCAGGACTCCAGGTCGAAGGTGCCACCAACCCCACAGGCAGCAGATGTAGGCAAAAACAATGAGTCACCCTGAGACAAGGGGACAGAGCAACCCTCGAACTCGCACAAAGTGGGGGGGGGGACTCAGGGGTCACATCCCTCGGACACACACGCCCTCATGGGGATTCCCAGGGTCCTAAGACGGAACTCACGCTCAGGGAAGCCCAGGCAGGGTACTGCTAACTGGCGTCCTAGTCTACCAAACAACCTTCTAAGAACTGAACCCCTGGAACGTGTACACTCATGGGGACCAAGCAGGGGAAACCACCGGAAACAGAAGAGTACTCAGTACTCGGGTGAAAACAAGCTGTGCAGTACCCTGTGCCCCCACCAATGCAAACTGCCCTCTACCCAAAGGTGAACAAGGGAGACAGAACACCCAAGCACACAAAGGGTGGTCGAAAACCAAGCAGTAAACGGCCTGGCAGAGGCAGAATCCAAGGAACTTGTGGAAGGTTGCCCCAGGCCCCATGGGCAGTACTTACTGGGCACCTAGGGAAGGAAACCCTAGGCGCATGCAGCCCGAGTACTGAAGAATCACTCCCGGCTCACGCACCACCTAGAAGACAGTCACCACACAAAAGGTACAGTGGTGAAACAACCACTGGAGCCAGAGCACACGACTGTTGCCTATGGCATCAGCCTCAGAACTGAGAGGTGGATTTCCGGCGTGGAGGTCTGGGGGGTCTGATTCCACCTACCGGGAAGGGGGGAACTGCGCAGACAGCAGTGCCAACGTGTGACGTCATACTCGTTTGCTCATTTCTGTTTGGGAAGTTCTATCCACTTGTTCAGCTTTTTGTCACAATTTTCACCAGAATTGGGGGTTTGTTTTGGGACGCTTACCTTTCTGGGTGCCTGACCAGGTCGATGGCATCCATAGAATGCTTCCAACAACATGGGGGTTGCTATTGGCCATTGCTCCTCGTGCCTCCTCTGAGGGGGGCCAGATTCTGGCTCCTGGTCCCTGGTAGTTACTCAAAGCTACACAAAACTTCCTAGCATTACGTTAGTAATGAATAAATGATATATTTATTCATTATAATGTTGGTACTGAATGTAGAACATGAAAAACATATTTTTACTCTGAAAAAGTATCATTTTATAACGAAATTAGACAAAAATAAGAAGCTGGTGATGCCAAAGCAAGTCGACGATCCAAGCGACAATATTTGCTGGCATATGCGCCTCCTGTACCTACCTAACCTAACCAACCTACCCAAACATAACCTAACCTAACCTATCCAAGCATAACTTAATATAACCTCTAGGCAACAATATATCTTGAATAATTTGTTCATCTTGGATAAGTCGCTCCACAACATTGTCACTTGGATTGTCGACTTCCTATGGCCTCTCATGCCACTTAGTTTCGTCTAATTTCGTTATAAATTTATATTATTTCAGAGTAAAAATATGTTTTTTCATGTTCTACATTCAACACCAACAATATAGTGAGTAAATATATCATATTTCTTCATTACTTACGTAATGCTAGGAAGCTTTGGGTAGCTTTGAGTAAATTTGGGTAGCTTTGGGTAATTAGAGTCACCGAGAAGAAAGCCAGAAATGCGACACCAAAAGACCAGCCACCTGCAACTCATACAGATGACAGTACACCAGACTCAAAAATTCTATGGAGAGACTTGCCACAAACCTCAACCACTTGCACCAGGAATGAGAAATCCTCAGCTGTACAAACTTCCTAACGACCTGGCACTTCGACTGAAAAATCATATAAACCACACTCTCCCACGACACATCCTCCAACCATTCCCAGATATTCAACACAGTGTATTACTGGCACTACAAAGAAGTCCAATGTATTCACATCCCAGACATAAAAATCCGAAATACAACATAACAACCCTTCTTCAATTAACATACCCCAACCAAACTTAAACTACCCTACCCCAACCAAACCTAACCTACCCTACCCCAACCAAACCTAACCTAACCTTATACATATTAACCCCCATGTTACTTAATGCACTCTAACTCCCTACCATAATCTACCCTAGCTTATCTGAATTGCAACTAACTCCCAAACATACTCACAATCTGTCTCTTGACAAATCCACACTTTTTATAAAACAGCAACATTTGGATGCAACATTAACACCACCCCTCATCTTTGCCATCATAAGTCCATTTCTACTTATATGTCTATTTTTCTTAGATCCTCACACAAATAGAAAACATCAATAACTTCCAATATCTGCCAAATTTACATTGATGCACCACCGAAAGTGCCGCATCTATCATCACCACTCGTGCAGTCATCGGGAGGAAAAATCTTCATGCAAACTGCACGTATTGCGTAGAAGAAGTGTTAGGTGGAGAACTTCATTACCTATACTAGAGTGTGAGCAAGTAACATGTAAAAAACCAGCGTTGAATGTAATGAAACGCCATTTTCTGGGCGAGACCCAGAGGCTCCCTGGAGCTATCAGGCTGATGTGTTATATTAGTCTGGGGCATCAATCAATTGGAGGTTCAGCCTGCCGGGTACCACGAGTCTTAACCTGGCCCCCCTCAGAGAGGCAAAGGGAGCAATGGCCTATAGAAATCCCCATGTGGTTGGGGGCATTCCATGTCTACCATCAACCGGGGCTGGCACTCAGAAAAGGTAGGCATTACAAAAACCCCACTAGGTAAGAAATGCAACTGAAAACCGAACAGGGAGGCAGAACTCACCCTACAACTTAAGGAAACAGGCAAACGTCACACCTCACTGTTGAGCTGGCCTGTCTGTGCAGCTCCTCCAAGGAGGGGGGAGCCACGGACCCTCTGAGCCGGCTTACCCAAGTCGTCCAATTTGGAGGATAAACATCAAAAGGGAAACGGAACCGCCGACCGGAGAGAGGGAAGGTTGTCAGGGAGCCTCTGTGGCTCACCCAGAAAATGCCGTTTCATTACATTCAACGCTGGTTTTCTAAGGATGAGCCCTATGGATCCTTGGAGCTACATAAACAAAGATAAGGAAAACAGGGATTTACCCAGGAGGTGGATGACACTCGCTCCTCAACTTGAAGTCGAGACAACTGGCTGCAACCTGCGACCCAAAGCCACACACGGATGACTAGGACCAGGAACATTGACAAGATAACGCGCAGCCAGGACCCTGTTAGACCTCCAAAATCCCCGTACCTGAAAGTCAGCCCAGGACATATTGCCGAAGACGGCAGCCAAAGCAGCAAACTTCCTAACTTCATGGGCATGAGGAGGCACGAGGATAGACAGCAGGCTGGCTAGACTTATTAACCCTGCAGACGACCTGGGAGACCCAACCCTGGAACAGGGAATGAGGGAAATCAACCAAAAGCGCATCCCCAGTCACCGAAGCCAAAGTGTGCAGATAACGGCGAAGAGCTGCAACCGGACACAATACATGATGCACCCTTGGCCTGACCAACCATGCATCAATGGCCCATCCAGAAAGCAGCTGTCTCGTTCTTTGTCAGAAAAGAAGACGGCTGCAACAGAACAAACCGACCACCAGGACCAAAATAGCAGAAACTCCTGCGCCGGAGGAAGGCATGAAGCTCACTGACCTGACCACCTGAGGCCAATGCCAACAGTAACAGAGCCTTGGAAAATTAATCTTGAACCGAAGGGGCCACCACAAACCGAGGAGAGGAAAGAGAGGAGAGCACCCTGTCCAAGGACCAG